GAGGCCCAGTAATAACTGCTGTGCAGAGTTGAAAGTCTCTAGCTCTCTACCCATTTCTTCTTATTCCCTCTTCCCTAGAGAGCGTCGTTACTGAGATGTCTCTTCCTAATTAGCCCATGGCTGGGAAGTCCCTAAGCAATCAGTTTGAGGAGAGAAAAAAAAAACTCTTAGTTATTTCTCCTTTTTACCAATTAAGTTATAGAAGTTTTGAACGATTTTTTTTTTGTAAGAAAACCTGAAGTCCTACCAGTTGGGAAGTTTGTAACACAAGGACTGCTTTCCCTAAGACCCCAGATCTAGATGTCCAGGTGTCCTAGAACTTTTCACTGTTCTCGATATCAGGTTCTTCGCAAGACTTTCTTAGTGAAGCCCAATGACTCTTCTAATTGCTTTACAGAAGCTGCTGGTCCTAGTGCTGTGGACCCTCTGGGATGCTGTACTTCAAAGCCTAACCCCTCTCTGTGCAGTGCCTGTTCCTCCCCTTCCTGAGCACTTGCGCATCTGTGTGGATTTGAGCTAGGTTCTTGCAGCCACTTCTTTGTGGTCTGTCCCTGACTACCAGCCGAGGCCCCTTGAAGTAGGGAGAACAGGAGACTGTGTAGGCAGCTACCATTGCAAGCTGGAAGAACTGGCAAAATGGAAATCAGAAACCTGCTCCTTGCTGGAGATGATAGGGAAAAACTGAGTGTTACACAACAATTTTTCTGCTTTTTTGGTTTCATTTTCAATACACCTATTTAATCTGAGAATGTTACCTGGTACCTAAGGACATAAATTAGATTCATCTTCCTTCTTAATTCCTTGATTTTCTGAAGCCTAATTAGTTTGGCACAGAATGTTTGTATTTTCTATTCATGCATCTCCATATTCTTTTAAGTTATATGTTGTAAAAACCTGTTTTGTATACTTTTCTATCTCAAATAATAGCTTATAAAAGATACTTTCTCCTGTGAACACATATTTTCTGAACTCTTTTTTAGCTAGAGCAACTGGGCAAGAGAAAAGATTAAAAAGAATATATACAATTTTAAAAGCTATTAGAGAAGAACAATACATCACTTAGAAAGGTAAATCCATTAGTATTTTAAAAAGCAGATTTAAAACAAACCTCAAAGGCCAACAGAGATTGGAGTGAAGTGATTCAAGAGCTAAAAGAAAGCAAGTTCCAAGCTACACTAATATATTTACAAACTTAAATCTAAGTGCCCTTATTCACAGACAATATGATTCTTTACATAGAAGATCTTAAAAACTCTACCAAAGACACCTAATGAACAAATTCTGCAATGTAGCAGGACTCAACATAAATGCACAAAAATCAGTTGTTCCTGTATGACAATAATGAGCCTACTGAGAAAGAAATTAGGAAAACAATATCATTCACAACAACTTCAAGAAATAAATACTTAGGAATTATCCTAAAAAAGGAAGTGAAAGATCTCTACAGCAAAAACTATAATCTTATGAAAAGGAGATCAAAAAGGACATCAGAAAATGGAAAGATATCCTGTGTCCTTGGATAGGCAGAACCAATATTGTGAAAATGGGCATATTACCAAAAATTATCTATAGATTTAATGCAGTCCTAATCAAAATATGGCCAGCATTCCTCACAGAGCTAGAAAAAAACTATTCTAGATTTCTTATGGACAAGAAGAGACCCAGAATATTAAATCAATCCTGGATAACAAGAGAAAAGCAGAGGAATTACAACTGGGGATTTCAAATTGTATTACAAATCAACAACGATAAAAACAGTATGGTACTGGCCTCAGAAAAATACTGAGGTACAGTATGGTACTGGTCTCAGAAAAATAAAAACATGTGAGTCAGTGAAACAGAATACAGGACTCAGACATAAGCTTAAGTATACTCAGCCATCCAATCTTGGGGACCAAATTGGGTAGAAAACATACACTAGAGGAGAGATAACCTCTTTAACAAGCAGGGCTGAAAAACTTGCTTACAGCTGCAGAAGATTAATTCCAAAATATATATCTCACCAAGCACTAAAGTTAAATGAAAATAAAGCAAAGATCTATATATTAAAACAGAAACAATCTGCTGGAAGATAAAAATAATAAAACTCTTGAAAAGATAGCTGTACACAAGGACTTTTTGAAGAGAGTCCCAATTTCACAAGAAATAACATCAAAATCAATAAATGAGATTCTATCAAATTAAAATAAAGCTTCTGCACAACAAAGAGAATAACAGAGTGAAAAGGCTACATTCAGAATGGGAAAAATATTTGCCTGCTACTCCTTAAGAAGAGGAGTAATATTTAGAACTTAGAAAGGACTCAAAGAAATAGACCCCCCAAATAGAAGACTGAATGAAAAAAAAACGGTCAACTGAAATAAATACACATTTCTCAAAAGAAGAAGTACAAATGGCCAATAAATACATAAAAAAATTTTCAGCATTTCTGGCCACTAGAGGAACATAAATTAAAACAACACTCAGATTTTATCTCATTTTAGAAAGAATGGCTATCATCAAGAAATCTATTAACAAACCCAAGAGAGAACACAAGGAGAAAGAAACCATTCTACATTTCTGATAGGAATATAAACCAGTACAATCCCTGTAAAAATCAGCATGAGGATTCCTCAAAATCCTACAACTAGAAATTCCGCTTGACTCAGCTATTTCTCTTTTAGACATCTTCCCAAAAGAGTTAAAGACATCACTTTATAGTGACATATGTTTATAGCAACCTAACTCATAACAGCTAAATCTTGGAAGAAGCTAGATGTCCATAAACAGATGAATGGATTAAAAAAATGTGGTGTTTATACACAATGGAGTAATACTCTGCCATAAAGAGGGACAAATTGGAGTCAGTTGTAGGAAAACAGATATACAATGAGACAATAAGATTAAGTGAAGTGTGTCACACACACCAGCTTACACATTGCATGGTTTCTTTTATATGAAAAACCTGAAGTATAAGTAATTGAAAGAGTAAAATAAAAGATGGATAATAGAATACAGGGAGGTAGGTCTTTGCAGTTGATAAGGGGACCAAGATAAAGAGGGAAGATGGGAGGGAGTGTAAAGAGAAGTAAAAACTTTTAAAATATGATATGTTCATGTACCAACTCTCTCTAATGAATGTAATTATTATATGAATTCAAAATATTAAACTTGTTTTAACAATCTCACCTTTCTATCAATGCCTCACATAGACTGTAGTTTACTGCTGCTAATCGGTAAACTGAGATGTGAATACATGTTGTAGATGGAAGGAATAAAGGAATTGGGGGAGGGGAGGGTACATAGTGATTGGCCCAGGGTCCCATTCTCTGTCCAGTGCCACCATGGTCCTCTTGATCCCAACACTCTTGCATGGCAAACCGTGCAGCCACCTTGACAAACCTCAGTCAACAAGCATTTGGCTAAGCACGCTGCAGAAGGCCTTCCGGTGAGGGAGCACTCTCCAGCTGTCTACCCAGGCTTCCTCCCGCCTCACCCTCCCCACAGCGTCACTCTCCGGCGTGCAGTGGAGCCTCAGTGCCTGATGCACTGTGCAGTCCCTGGCAGGGGGTGGTGGAGGTTCCTGTGTGAGCAGCCGATGGTGGGCTGTGGGCAGAGCACAAGGTGTCCCGTGGGTGCAGCATCCATGGTGTCAGTTCCTGAGCCACTCTGGTCTCTTGCCTTCCCAGGATCTCACCATTCACAGATGCCGCTGTGACATAGCAGAAGGCTGAGTCAACTTGGCAAGCCACTTAGCATCTCTGAGCCCCCATTTTCTCTTCTGTTAAAAGCTCCCCCAATCAGGATTAATGAATTGGAAAGAATGATAACTTCCCATCAGAACAGACCCTCCTGAACTACACTTGGAAACTGCTTTAAGCACGAGTCTCCTCTTTCTCTAACTGATACAGTCTAACCGAAACCTACTGGTTAGCTTCCGGAGGGTGGGCTGGCTGGGATTAAGGGAACACACACTATTTTATCTGGACATTTATGCAGTGCAAGCTACCCAATTATGTCTCACAATTTTGCCTTTCCTCATAAGGCAAGACAACAAGCCAGAAGTAGCTGCGTCTCCTACTGCTGGAAGAAGGGGAAATAGCCCCTTTCCCCACTTCAGGCTCTCAGGATCTACTGATTGTCATCATTTAGATAAATTCCTTCCTTCTAACCCATTCCTCCAGCATTATGTGAAATTCCCACAGTTTCATTCCTAAAAACCAAGCCTCTAAATTGTTAGGGAGCTATAAGTCAAAAGGGTAACGGCTGATTTCTTATATTCTGCCCAAAAAGAAGATATTTGGAAGGCTAGTGGGACTTTTGGATTTATTAAAAGGAATTTCCCCCTGATCCCTACCCATAAATATTTTCATCCTCTAGGCATTATCAAGATTAGCCAAATTAAAACCACCCCAAACCCTGTCACAGCACTACGGAGACCTTCTGTGGCAAATGTAAAAACCACTACATTTACTTTGCAGTAGCAATGGGGCCAGGATTATATGATCTACAACCAAACACAAAGAGAGCCTCAGGATTCTTAAGATGCACGTATCCATCTTGTCAAGAGATGATACAAAAATGTAGAGAAAGATTTAGCAGAGCTGATAAAGGACCAAATGAGCATCCCTACCTTTGTACGTCATTGATTTTACCAGAAACAACCTATTCTTCCTTAAGGCCTCTCCCCACTAAAAAATACATTTGTTTTTAGACATGGCTAATAAGACAATGAGATGAGACAATGCATGGAAACAGGTATTCTTTCTCTAGTTCTTCCTAAATCCCAAGAACATGCTTGCATGAAGTCAGCAGTGGAAGGAAGCAGAGGCTGTGTCTGTGAGGTCCTACTTGGCCAAGAATGGAACTCATATTTCTCTACTTTGTCTACTTCCATGACACACCTGAGATTTGTACACACAATCTGATTTTCATAACAATGAAAATGGAAGAGAAGATTTAGGGTTTTCTAGGGTATGCAACAACTCATCCTGAGGACACACCATTGTTTTAGAGAAAGACTAATCTCTGAGGAACTGACAGCAGCATTTCACTGCATTACAGAGGCTTTCTTTGACTTTCTCATTCCGGACAGTGAAGATGAAAGGGTTCAGGAAAGGGGTCAACACAGAAGCCAGCAGTGACGCTACCCTGTTGTGCTCAGCTGGCCTGTGTTTGCTTGGGCTCCACGTAGAGAAACAAGCAGCTGCCGTAGCCGATCACAACAAATGTGAAGTGAGTGGAACAGGTGGAGAAGGCTTTCCTCTGGCCGGAGGCTGAGGGGACCTTGAGGATGGTGGAAATGATGAAGGTATAGGAGACAATTGTAGGGATCAGAGAACCAATGACAATAAAAACAGCCATTAAAAAAAGGATGAATTCTGTGAAGAAAGCCTCATCCCATGAAAATCTGAGTAATTATCCTCAGTCACAGTAAAAATGGCTTAATAGATTTGATTTGCAGAAAGTAAACTGAAAGGTGGCATAGACTGGCTAGATTTCACAAAGGAATCCAAAAGCCCATGACATGATGACCACCCAAATGCAGGTGCAGTTGTTCATAATGATGTTGTTCCTCAAAGTATTACACATAGCTACGTAATGGTCCATAGCCATCGCTGCAAGCAATGCAAACTCAGTGGTCCCCAGAGCGAGGTACAGGGAGAGTTGGGCAACACATCCACTCAGAGATAGTGCCTGGGTTTCCATGAGCAGCAGACCCCAAAGCATCACAGCAACAATTACAGATGTGGTCAGGATCTCCAGGAAGGAGAGATGGCCGAGGAAGAAATACACGGGAGACTGCAGACGTTTATCAACACAGACAATTGTGATGATCACTGTGTTTCCCAGGAGTGTCACTGAATAAAAGAAAAAGAATATAATAAAAATAGTGTGATGCAGTTCTTGAGACCCAGGGAAGCCCAGAAGGCAGAATTCAGTGGCACTAGAGCGGTTGTCCATTGCTTAGCTGTTACTTCAGCTCTTCAAGAAACCTGGGGATCCAAAGGGAGTTAGCTTTATTCCATACGGTCCTCCTCTCAAGACAGAAAGAAGAGAGATTAGGATGAGGAACTATTTCCAACCTGGTTGTTAAGTAGCATGCCCTGTTTTGTGTGTTCTGCATACAGCCTAGCTAAGTATTATCATCTTGATCTGTAAATGAGGCTTTCAGTTCATGTGGAGCTAGTTCCTTAGCATGAGTAAAGATACCTTGTTTTCTGTCATAGTGAGGAAAATGCTCCTGTCCTCTTCCCCACTAAATGTTCCTTGTCTTAGGGGTAAAGGCTAAGACCTTCCATATAGGTAAATTTGAGGCTGTGTCAAGCAGGACTTCTGGTGCTTGGTTTGTCCTATGTCCTCCTAAACTGAAGCACCAGAACATGTGAAAGAATTCTAGTTATTGTGCAGAGGCTGGAACTTTGACCCCCAGTGCTTAATATTATGGCAGTGCACAAACTCCCCTTGGGGCATCAGTAAGGAAGCTGGGGCTCTGGGACCAACATCCTTGTTGTTCCTGGATCTTAAAATCTCCGTATTATGGAGCAGCAATATCCCCACATGAGAACTCTGGGTCATGGGATAATTTCCCAAAGCAGATCTCTTCTTCTCTAACTCCAGTTCCCCTTGAAGCACAGGGAGGTAGGGAAGACAGTAGCTGGAACAGTCAAGGATTAGACCTGAGGTGGTCGCCGCTAGGTGCCTGCATCCCACGCTCACCTGACCCCATCACTCATGTGTCTTCTCTCCAGAGGACTCTTCCCCAGCACCATACCAAAGCAAGAGAGCACGCTGGTTGCTGGACTTCAGTTCTCCCAGTAGCGCTTGCTACTACCTGGTAGCACATGACTAATGGTTGATTTCATTCCTTTGCTTAATACTAAACAAATGTAGTCATGAACTAAACAAACAAAAATCCTTGAACTGCGGAATTTAACAAAGGCTAATACACACACACACACACACACACACACACACACACACACGAAAAGTAAATATAATACCTAATAAATGAGTTCATTAATCAATTCATAGAGAGAAAATAAAGCAAAGAAGAGATTTATGACATTTAATTCATTTATATTTCACCTGTGACATTGTTAGGTAAATTCTATGAGAGAAAGTACATCTTCTTCACACTTGTATTCTAAGACTGGGATATTTCTCTATATATATTTGTGAGAATATATATTTATATTTATATTTTATATTTAAATATAAATTTCTTTCCTGAACCAAAGAAGTAGTGCTGAAAAATTTTGGTAGGTCATGAATGCATAGAGGTATGATACATGATTGAATGAGATTGAATGTTCCAGCCAGGTCCACAAAGGTCCAGCCCTCTGCTCTACTCTCCTTGGCTATTCTTAGTATGTCAGATTACCACTTTCTTTCTTCCCTTCCTCTTCCAGTGCAACCCTGTCAGTTTCTCTGTGGCTATTTTACTGATAAAAAATCAGGACTCATGAACGGAGTAAGCTTAGTGTTCTGGTTTCCCACAACTAGAGATAACCATCACTAGATGAAGAAAAATGAGAAAGAAGAATGTTTACTATTTGAGTCATTTATGGGAAAATGGATGCACTTTAAGTCACATGCTAAGTGCAATAAGTCAGAAACAGTGAGTTAAATATGACATGGTTTCTTTTATATGGGAAATCTAAAGTATACAGAATTTAAAAGGCAAAATAAAAAATAAAACAGGAAATGGAAAGATAGACTTTGTGTAGATAGGAAGGAGGTCTGGCGATGGTAGAAGTGGGGAGGAGGGGAGAGAAAGGGGAAGTAAAGAGGATCAAGATGCAGCATGTGAATGTCTTTATTACATACCACAAACACATATGAACATTTTAAAATTATGTATTCACATCTGCCTTAGTTACTTTTTCCTCACTGAGACAAAGTACCTGACACCTAAAGTTAAAGGGGGAAAGATTTATTTAGCTCACAGTTTGTAGAGGTTTCAGTCCATCAATTGCTGGCTCCAAGGCAGGCTGGCATAGCAGAGGGGCATTGCAAAGGAGAAACAGTTCATGATAGGCAGCAGGTAGCAAAGCAAGCAGGAGAGGTGTAACACAAGCCTTTTTCTGTCCCTTATATTGTATCTAGGCTACCAGGATTAGGGCAGTGCCAAGGAAACTAGTGGACGGACTTAGTAATCATTCACTCTTAATGCTAGCACCCTTAAATCTAGCACCCTCAGTTCTAACATTGTACCATGAATCAGTTACACACTCTAGATTTAGCCATTTCTGAAAAAGCCCCAGCTATGATTGTATTTTACTTTTGGGGGACATTTCAATACAACCTACAACAACATCATCCAAAAAAAGGAGGAAGAGGAAGGTCACTAATGTTAGAGAGTTGTGTGTGTCCAGTGTCGGGCAGTGCACTGCTAAAGGGTTCCTGTGCTATCCTGGAGGGACTTAGGACTGAGCTGGTCCACTCTGCTGCTCCCTTATCCTCTCCCAGCTCCAGTATCCTGATTCTAGAAGACGACCAGGCCCTGAACTGCCCAGCCTGAGCCCTCCTACTCACTCCTTTAAAAAGGAGAACTCTTGAGAAGAGACTCATTGCTATGGAGGGGCTTCACCACCGATTGTCTTGGGGCCCAGCTGAGGCCATGTTCTGTCTGGTGAGTACTGGGTCATGCAAGATGCTGCTGTGCCTACTCATTGTATAAAGGAAGCTGTCCTCATGGAAGAGTTTTGGAAGAAGCCCAGTAATAACTGTGTTCTGTAGAGTTGGGGTTCTCTAGCTCTCTTTCCATTTATCCCCATTCCTTTTTCCCAAGGAGACTTTGTCCCTGAGATACCACTTCTTAATTAGCTCACATTCAGGGAGTCCCTAAGCAATCAGTTTGAAGAGAGCAGATAAAAGACTTAGTTATTTCCTCTTTTGGCCAATTAAGTTGTAGAACTTTTGAAAGTTTTCACATAGTGAGAAAGTTCAAAAGCTTCTCAATCAGGGAATTTTTAACTCCAAGGCTCCTAACTTCTTGAAGATCTCAAGTCTAGATTTCTGAGTGTATCCTACTCTGAGCTGTTCATCTTCTCTGCTCTTCATCACAGGCTCTTCTGTGGAATCCTTTTGCTCTTTACAGCCCAAACCAGCTCCTTTCTCCAAGGGACACCACAATTGGTCTGTAAAACATGGACCCGCATGCCCTGAAACCAGAATGTAGGTCTCAGTCCTCCACCATAAATCACCCAGGAAACCTGAGCAAGGAGCTACCTTTGCAAGCTTGAAGAACTGGTGAAATGGAAATCAGAAACCTGCTCCTCGCTGGAGAAGATAAGGAAAGTAAAAATTATAAAATGTTTTTCTGGCTTGGGTTTTCACTTTAGGCATACCTGTCAAATCTGAGACTGCCACCTGGTAACTAAGGATATAAATTAGGAATAATCTCCTTTCCTAATTTTTAAATTTGCCTCAGCTTAAGCAGTTTGCCATTGAATTTTATCATTTTCTAAGCATTCATATTTTTAAAGAGAATTCTGTGAAAATCTGTTTTACAAACTTTCCTAACTCAGAACCATATGAAATATACCTTCTTGTATGAACACATACTGTCCCATCTCTTTTTTTCCTTCAATAATATTCCACTATATAGATGTCTTTTGTTATTATCTCATCCTCTCTTTACCACATTTAGAAGTTCTTTCCATTTTCATTACGAAAAATGATGTTATAAGTTTTCTTAGACATTTGTAAGGGCATACTTAATGAATAAACTTTTAAAGTTGGAGTTTCCACGTTAAGATATTGATGCACTGAAGCTATTGCTCTTTATGCACTAAATAGCACCTCATATAATTATTATGACTGCACAAAAGAGAGCTCTTCTTTTCCTATCTTATGTTGAACTAGAGGAATAAAATTTTGTTTTCATTTTTTTTTTATTTTTTATTTTTATTTTTTGGTTTTTCTCTGGTACCAGGAACCGAACTCATGACCTTGCGCTTGCCAGGCAGGTGCTTTGCCACTGAGCTAAATCCCCAGCCCCTTGTTTTCATTTTAAATTGAAAAGAACAGAATACAACACCTTAAAAGTGAAGTTCATTAATAAATCTGAAAAAATGGAAAATTTTTTGAAAGATAAATATTACCCAAATTGACTGAAAAATAAATACAACTGAACATGCCTAAATATGTTAAATAAATTCACTTCAGAGTTTAAAACCTTTACACAGAAAACTCATATCCGGTCCAGATGGCTTCATGGGTTTATTCCATCAAATATTAAAGAAAGCAATAACACCAGTCTTGCACAAAATCTTCTACAAAGTTAATTGAGAAGAAGGGAGCACTTCTTACTTCATTTTGAGACCAGAATCTTCTTGACACCTGATATATCAAGAGGCTGAGTCTATAAACCAGTGTCTCTTATGAACATAAGTGCAAAATTTATTTTTTAAGAAGGATCATGACTATATATTGATATTCAAAGATGGATACATCAACAGATGGTTCTTCTGGTCATATCTGAAGGTGCTTCTCAGCAACAAATCTTATTACAATTTCAGAGTTTGTAAAACACAGAGTAAAAAAGATGTCATAATCCTGTGGACTCCCATGGTGGACCCCCAATTTTTCCTTTTTTTAAAAAATTAGAATGTTTGTAATACAAAAGAATGATATTCATTTTGGGCAATTGGAATATATACAAGTTACAGGAATTCTTGTTTCTTCCACTTCCTCCGTTCTCCTTCCTTTTGCCCACACATCCCAAATCCCTTTTCCTCTCCATAAAGTCTACCTACCTGTTTTTTATCTTTTATTTTCTCTTTAAATTATCTCTATTTTAAGTTTCTCTTATAAGAGAAACTATGCAATATGTAACTGTCTGTATTTGATTTATTTCACTAAGCATTAATTTTCCTATAAGTGCATCAAATTTATTCTGTAATACGGCTGAGTATTACTCTATTGTATATGCAGAGTCCACCAAAAAAGAAAAAAGG